CATTCCAGCTACAAAAGTGGCTTTGCAGGCTTTGAGTTTGGTATTATCAGACCCGGGAGTGTTTGAGACCCTGGGCCACGTGTGTCTGTCTACCCTCCTGGAAGGTTCCCGGGCTGCTCTCCAGGCCTGGTTGTTGTGTCCATTCTGCCGGAACCCACAATTCAGAAGCTGTGGGTTAGCAATCTGGGTCCTGCAGGTCTCCAGGCTGTTGCTGCCGCCGGAGAAGGCAGGGATTGAGGGTGTCTGCAGCGGAGAGCATGCAGGGGCCAGGAGCTGAGTCAACATCAAAACCCGGAGGAAGCTCTGGACCAGGCTGAAGATACATCACCACAGCCTTGGGGTGGGGAGCAGTGGGGTGTGTACAACCCCTTCCTTTATCTCTCTTTAGGGACTAATGGGGTTGAGAGCCCCAGGTGTAAAGCCCCACCCGCACTCCACCCACAATCCCGCACGGGCCAGCAGCAGAGATAAGGCCCCTCCCTGACACTGAGTCTCCCAGGTGCTGAGCAGGGATTTGGGGGGAGGAGTCAGGGTTTCTCTGGCAACCCGTGTACAGGTCTGCCTCCCTCCCTGACTCAACCCTGGGTTCCTAGACTCTTGGCCCTTCCTGGCTGGGCTTCCAGTGAGTGAGTACCTGGCAGGGGATCCTAGCAGATCCGTGTCCAGTCTTTCCCAGGTCTCTAGGGGAGGGTCCGGGGAAGGGTGGCATGGCAGAGGTGGGCAGGAGGAGACTTCGGTTTCTCAGCTTCCTCAGCCTGAAGTATTCTTGCCCCTCCATTCTGCAGGTTTGCTCTTCACTGGGCTCAGGCCCCACTGTTGGGGACCCCCCCCAATTGTCATGTCAATTGGAGGGCTCTTGGCACTACAACTTGGCTGAAAGTCCTGCTGGAATGCCCCCCCACCCCCCAAAGGCCGGGGTTCTGGGTGTTGAAGGCTAAGGGAGCACTGGATGGAAACCAGACCCCTGTTCTGACCTTTTCAAGGAGGGTCGCCCACAGGCTCCTTTCATAGTATGCTCCCTGGCCAGGACCTGGCACAGTCAAGCCGCTAGGAGCAGAGTTCTGAGGGCTGCCATTCCAGGAAGTGGTATGGAAAGTGGATCATGGCTAAAAGCGAGGAGCCAGAGCCTGGTGACATGCTGGAATAAGTCTGAGTGCCCCAGTGGTGGCCTGCTGACAACTGTTGTCAACAGTAGCCACTGAGGACTACCAGGGGCCTGATCAGCAGGGGCTACTGCTGTGGGCTGTGAAGGTGGGGCAGAGGAAGGGTACCAGTACTGGAGGGGCCTACAGGCCTGTGCTTCTTGTGGAGCAGGCTTGTGCTGGTGCTGGGTTGGGGTTTCTTCTTGTTGCCTTCTTCTCTCTTGTCGACATGGGTCTCCAGTGATCTCCCTCCTTGCGGGGCAGGGATAGAGTCTCCCAAGCTTTAGCGGGGCTGCTGTATCACGGTTGCTAAGCAGAGGGGCTTTGCGAGAGCGGGGCTCTTGGGGTGGGGGATGGTGGAGCATTCCTGGCATCTGTGCCTGCATCTCCTGCCAGCCACCTCCTCTGAGGAGAGGACAGCCATGTGTCCACTCCACTTGTCTGCTTCATCTCCATCCTTTCGGCGCCTCCTCCTGCCTGTTTAAACAGCAGCATCCTTCCCAAATCATCGCTTTTGTTCTGGCTCCTTTCTACCCTTGCAGCTGCCACCCCTGTGTGGCCTTTGTTTTCTGGGGCTCAGATCAGAGTGAGGCGTCAGCTGACTTCCCTGGAGAGCGGTCGGTGTTGGAACAGGCTGGGGGGCTAGAAAGATAGGCTCGCCGGATTTAGAAGTGCACCCAAATCAGATGCCCACACCCCACCCCCAGCCACGGAGCTGGCTAACCCTCGGGTGTGTGTGTGTGTGTGTGTGTGTGTGTGTGCATGCATGCATCTGTGTGCTATGTATATGTTGTGTGTCATGGAAGAGAATTGTGTTTAAACACAGGGTGCTCCTGCCATCTGCCTGTTATTCCCAGCTGTGACCTGCTTTGTCCTGCGGAAAGTAAGATGCTTTTGTTAGAAGCCCTAGGCTCCACTCCTTTTCCTTGCCTTCAGCACTCTGGTGTGTTCCGGGTAGGGCTGTGGCAGCCGGAGGTGTTGATCGGGCTGTAGTCCAGGCGGTCATGTTGGCAGTTGGGTGCCATGCCAACATGAGGACGCCAGCCTTGAGTCTATGTTGCTGAAGAGTGCGCTGAGGTTTCAAGCCCTAGGGGCCCCCAGGGTGGTGGGTGTGGTGCCCTGCTCCCCTTCACGGTTCACTGGCTGCCCCCAGACTGTGCTGGGTTTTGCTCTTCCAGGGAGGAGGCGGTGAGAAATAAACAATGGGGCTAATTAGAGTCATCGCAGGTTTCCAGAAGAAAGCCCCTCCCCACCCGCTGCCACCTGCCCACCCAGACTGTAGCCTAAGCATAGCATATGTTGCTATGCTGCGGGCTGAAGCTTGTGTACTTTTTGCAGTCACAGGGGACGGAGGGGAGGTGCCTCTTGGGCTCTACTGCCGAGTAGCTGTCACGCTTAGCTGAACCTCTGTGGTTCACGGAGGAACCGGACAGCGAACTGGGTCCTGGTCAGCATTCCTGGTCCTGGCATGTTTTCATTTATTATCCTATGCCCAGCCAGGTGAGCACCTTGTAATCTGTGTGCCTCTGACCTCACAGGAGCCCTCCTAAGGCTCGGCCCACTCTTCTGAGGAGCATACTTAGGCCGAGAGCTCTGAATGACTTGTTTGAGGTCCCTGGACAGAAGACTATTCTGCTGGATGTTCCTATCCCTTCCCTGACAAGAAGCTGCTCCTCAGGTGAAGTTCTGCATGGTCCCGAGGACCCACAGGTGGCTGCTGCTGCTGCTTCTGGCTGCAAGGGTGTGGTGGGTGGATTGTAGCGAGGATTTAGAATTCTGGACTATGGCCCAGCCAGGACCTTAGAAATGTTACTTGGTCCCTCTGCTACAGTGAGCTTCACAAGGCTGTCAAAGTATGATGCAAGGTCACACTCCCCAGTGGCTAGCACAGCGCCTCACAGGGGGCTCTGGGAATGCTGTAAAAGGACCTGGCCAGTCTGGCTGCTAGCAAGGCTGTGCTCAATCCCTAAGGGGGCCCTGCCCTTTGAGGGAGGCAGAAGGGGATGTGGTCAGTAGTATGGCAGGGCACCGCCCTCCTAAAGAGCTGAGGGAGGATGCAGGAAGGACGGGGACACGTGGCCTCTGAGACTGCACTCGTACTTCACAAGCATGGGGACAAAAGGAATGGGAAGTGCCAGGAGCCCAAGAGCAGGGTCCTGAGGTTCAGACCTCCAGGCCTTGCGATGTGTTTCCCTGTTGGCTGGGATGCTGCTGCTGGCACTAAGAACAGGCGTGGCAGGGGGGAGGGGCGTGTGCCATCCTTTTCCGGGGCCATGGTTTGCCCAGAGGCCACAATGCCTTACCCCTAGTTCCCCTATGGCAGACACAGTGCAGTTCTGTCCGGTCAGCTGCTGGAGCAGTCCTGGGGCAGGACGGGCCGTCTATGGATTTTATCCTGCCATGGACTGGATATCGGCAGAGGGCACCCTGACTTTGACCTTGGCCTCTGAGCTGCAGCTGAGGCCTCGGGGGTGAACCTGGGCTGTGAGAACTACATGGTGGCAGCCTCCACTGGGCTGTTTGCCAAGGCTGAGGGAGACAAGGGAGGGCAGAGTGCCAAACCCGTGGGGCGGCATGGGAGACAGAGGGATAGGCACTCCTGGTCTGCAGGATGGTGGCACTGCTCCCACACGGTGGGTGGGAGCCAGCCTGCAGGGGCTGCTGCTGCTGCTTTTGTTCACTGGGTTTTATGTTTCTGTTCACCAGGGTTTTGCTTTAATAACTTAGCTGGAAGCAGCAGTCAAGTACTTGCTACGGCTAATCCGCTGTGTTTACGGTGCGGTTTCTTCCAGACAAGTCGAACCCCAGTTAGTGGAAACAGCTCAGCCCCAAGGCAGCTCCCTGTGGGTGGGAAGTAGGGATGCTAGTCCAGTGAGAAAATACTGTCTCCTGAGCTCAGAACCACCCTGTTCCTCTGCCTCTAGGATAACATAACAGGACCTCATGGGCTCCCTGGTGCCAAAGGTAACCATGATTCAAGGGTGTTGTGTGTCAGATCTTTTCCTGGGGAGATGCAACGCTCATCCCTGCTAGGGAGCCCACGACAATCCAAAGTAGGGATCTCACTCAAGTCCAGCTTGAGGAAACAAGGAGTTTTACTGGGGTTACTTATAGGAATATGGGTGTGGGGGTGACTTACAGGAACAGAAATGACTCAAAAACAGCTAAATCACCAAGGCCCACCTCAGCATAGCTGGCAGGTCACACAAGCTGGGAACCTGGAGCACACTGCATAGTCTGGAGGCAGCACAACAGGCTGGAGAATGTCCTTTCCAAGTGACTCTTGTCTAAAACTCTTCTAGTCTGCTTGGCTGGTTCCTGCTTCTCCCAGGCAGCTGTGCTTTGAAGTTTGGCTTCTCTGAAAGAAGTCTTTTATTGCTTACTCTGGCATAAGGGGCCTGGTAAATCTGGTAGGTTTCAGGGACTTCCTGAAATCTATTTTGAGTTGTTTGCCTCCCTGCCTAGAGAGCTTCCCTTCAGTTTGTAATGTTTCAATATTGGTAAAAAACTGTTACATGAATCTGGTTTGTTGGTTTTGGCACAGGCCTTTAATCCCAGCACTCTGGAGGCAGAGGCAGGCAGATCTCTGTGAGTTTGAGGCCAGCCTTGTCTACAAGAGCTAGTTCCAGGACAGGCTCAAAAAACGTCAGCGAAACCTTGTCTTGAAAAACCAAAAAGACAAAAACAAACAAACAAAAAAAAAAGCTGTTACATAACATATTTCCAAGCCCCTGGAGATTTGATAGCCCTAGTACTTCAGGGCTGCCCACCCCCCAATCTTAACAGGCAGCAAAGTTAGAGACAGGATAACAAGGCTGCAGAGGCCCTTCTGGGAAGGCTCTCTGGAGCAGAGAAATCTAAAGCAGAGTTCTCTGAATCCCAAGGGTGCTGTGGTCATTCCCTGTTATTTTGCTTCCTTATGTCCTGGCTTGGGCTAGCATGCCCCAGTCTGGCATAATCCTAGCTGCCTCTCTAGTCACCTCTTGGAGCATGTATGGAAAAACCTAGAAGGCTTACATGTTTTCCAGACATCTAAAAATACCTGATGCCACCCTGTAGTTTGCTCATAGAGACCACTGTTCTCTTAAAAATGTCATCTAGGAACACATGAATGGGGTTTGCTCCAGGTCTGCCCATGGGAGCAGATGTGCCCAGGCAGGATGACTCTAGGCCAGCAGTCAAGGCAGAACCATGTAGTTACTACTGCCAAGAGGAATGCTTGACTGTTGTAGCAGACCTGGGCCCCCAGGTGGCAGGGCTCACCCACTGCACCCCCTTGCCTCTGTCCCAAAGCCTGTCACCGGTCTGCTGCTCACCCTACTAAGGGGGTCACACCCGCAGACCTTTCTAGAAACAGCCAGCTAGAACGCCTCTTCTCCCTCAGCCCCAGGAAAGCAGTAGATGGAGAAGCTGGCACCAGGTCTGTCCAGGGCCCTGTAACTCAACTCTGGGTCTCATCTTTTCTGTGCCAGGATGTCCTGGCTATGAGGGAGAGCCTAGGAGCTGGTGGGACACAGGTAGCCTCGGCTCACAATCAGGCAGTCTGTCCTTGGATTGCTGTCTTTGGGGATTTGTGTCCCTTTCCCTAGATCAGACCCGTCAGTAACAGTCTCAGGGATGGAGTATAGCTCAGAGGTAGAGGCTCACCCAACATACGCAAGCCCTGTAAACCATCTCCTGCACCGTTAAGGAACAGAAACATCAAGTCTTGGGTATGTTCATGCTGTAGTCTTCTGTTCTCTGGGAACTCTTGGGAAGAAAAGCCCCAAGTCCGGTGGGATTCCTGATTCTGTCCGCACCTTCCCTTCCCAGCCAACAGGCAACAAAGGGCCTGTGAGGTGCCTACAATCCTCTGGGAGGGGCGTGGTCCCAGTGTCCAAGGTTATCCTGCTTAGGGCTGGGCTTTGAGTCCTTTGTTTGTGGAACTGTGCTGAGCACAGGGCTTACCAACCTCAGAACCCAATCCTTCCCACCATATTGACGTTCAGAAGTCTCTGTTGAATGTGTGCTCCCCAGAATGTCAGGGGCAGCTGTTGGCTAGAGCCACACGTAGGGGCTGATGCCTCAGGCCGTCACTCAGTGACACGGGGTTATTATGCTGTCATGGGTCACCTGGAATTCTCTCCCACCCCATGAGAAGCAGCCCATCAGGAAGTCCCACAGCCATTGTCTACCCAGGGCTAATACTCATTGTCCTTACCCATCTCTAATGACTGTTCTGGGGGCCGGAGGACCCATACTGGACAGTACCCGGAGCAAGGCAGTAGCCAGTCCATGATGGGCACTGAGTGGTAGACCTACAAGCTACCATGTGACTATACCGTTAGACCTGGGCCCCCAGGTGGTGTGGCTCGTCATCCATACTCTCCTGCCTTGGTGCAATGCCAACCCCAGCCATGGGGGTGCCGCCCACCTTCCGAAGGGTAACCTGGCAGACCTGCCCCAGGGACAGCCAGCAAGAAGGTCTCTACTCCCCCAAGACCTCAGGGAGAATGGCCAGTCGGAAGGCCACCATCAAGCCCAGGTAGTGTTTGTGCGGGCGTGACAAAACTATCAGCACTGTTACTAGTCCTGTGGTCACCTTCCCCCAGGGACGGCGTCTTTGTGGGAGGTGGGAAGATGCGGAGGTCCAGCGTGTGGGTCTCTGACCAAAACTTGCTTGTGCCTTTGGGCTTGGCCTGGCTCCTCCTAACCTCAATTTATTCATCCATAAATTGAACTTATCATGGTACCAACCTTAAAAAGCTGTGGTTAGTGTCTGAGAATGTCAGGGCGTGTCCACGTGGTGGTGGCATTTTTCGGTCCCTCCTGTCTTTCTCAGGCGTGAGGTAGAGATGAGGAGAAAGGGGTTCTGCGGATCACAGGACTCCACCTGGGATCTTCCTCTCTGACTGGCCGCTGTCACTCTCTCCAAGGGAAGAAGAGTCCCATCCTCATGCAGCCAAGGACAGCTTTCTGAGGTGGCCTTTGCTTTCCCAGAAGCTGGGGACTTTTGGGGCATCTCCCTCTGTGGCCTGGTCTGATTGTATCAAGGAGCCAAGCCCCTACATGAAGACCTGCAGCCTGCCCGTGTGGTCCCCATGCTTGGACACCAGGGATGCCAACAGCTCAGTGTCATCTGGCCGACTCTCTGGCTCCTCAGGCGGGCATGATTCATGCGCACTTTTCCATGGGCCCTGGAAAGAAAGGCCACCCCTGGTGTTGGGGCCCCAGCGTCAGCCCAGGAAGAGCAACCCTCGTCTGGAGCAGTTGAGGGACAAGATCCGGGCCCAGGCACAGTGGCAGGCTAGCTGTGCCTCCCTGGGCACCTCTGTCCCCTCTAGTGCCTCGTGCCTCTACAAGACCTCCTCGACAGGGCTCCGGAGGAAGACCCCGAGGATGACAAATGACCTTCCGGTGGCTGCTTGCCCAGGTCAGTGGCTGCTTTGCCCAGCGGGTGTGGACCACAGACTGTGGGAAAAGGGGAGGGCTGATTCCAGGAAGGTAGTGTTTCAGACCAGGCTATGGTGGTGACCGAGGCACACGGGACAGACAGCCCTCGAGACAGACAACTGGGAGCTACATGTCATATGGGAGGGATGGAGCCTTGGAAGACAGAGACCCAGAGGGCCTGTGGGAGACGAAGGAGGGACCTAGTTTCCTGGGAGTGGGATCTTTGTTTTGTCTCCGCAGCCTCAGGGGCTGTTCAAACAGACCTGGGCGCCATTAGGTGCAACCAGCAAAGCCCACCTGCTACCCACAGCAAGACAGGTTGTGTTTTCTGGAGCAGGAAAGGCGGGTGACAGTTAAACAAATACCTCAAGAGCTTTTTGGCGGAGATACTGGAGGCCAGGCAGCTGCTTCGGGGTCTCTCTGGGGGAGAGAAGGATCTCTTTTCTAAGGCAGTAGGTTTGTTTTCAAAAACTGTGGTAAAGTACAGAACATAAAATTAGTCATGTCACTGTTTTAAAAATCGATTACATTTATTTATTTGTGTGTGTATGTATATGTGTGTGGGAGCGTTGCCACGGCCCAGCTGTGGAGGTCAAGAACGGCTTGCAGGAGTCAGGGGCTCTTCTTCTATCATCCATCCTGGGAATGGAACTTAAGATGTGGGCCTTCACAGCATGCACCTTCACCTGCTGAGTCATGGCTCCAGTCCTGTCTTTACCATTTAAAAGTGTTCTGTTCACTGCAGGCACCTGCTTCTTGTTATGTAGCCATCACCACCATCCTTCTCTAGAATGACCCATCCGTCATTCCAACCCCAAGAGCCTATCCCCTCCCTAGCCCCTGGCACCCGCCTCCTTCTGCTTCCTGTCTCTGTGGGTTTGATGACTCTGGGTACCTCAGAAATGGGAGCCCATGGGTCTTGTCCTTCTGTGACTTTCTTTCAAGGAGTACTTTTTTTTTTTTTGGAAAGTACAGTTAAGTACAGAGGAAGCAACAAAGTTCATCACCAGTCGCCGTGTACCTTCCTCCCACGACTACCCTACTCTGCTCTCTGAGATGTGTGTTAGTATACACTGTGACAAAATATTGGGAAAAAAAAGAATCTAGAAGAGGAGGATTTTCTTTGGCCTATGTTTCAGAGGGCTCTGTCCACGGTCATCTATTGTTTCTGGGCCTGCTATATGGCAAGAGCATCATGGTGCAAGGGCATTGCAGAGACATCCTGCATACATGGTGCAAGGGCGTGGCGGAGACACCCTGCACAGGTGGTGTGAGGGCGTGGCGGAGGGGTGCGTGGTGCAAGGGCGTGGTAGAGACACCCTGCACACCACACAGTGAACTTGAAGCAGAGACAGAGATAAGGACCCAGGGATAAAATATACCCTGCAAAGACACACTCTGTCATCCTATCAACCTCCCCTAGCCTATTTGGCTAGAAACCCATCAATGGATTAACTCATTCCTAGAATTAGCATCTGGTCACCTCAGATGCTGTCACCATTTGGGATCAAGCCTTCAACACAGGAGCTTTTGGAACATTTTAATATCAAAACCATACCATTCTGCCCTGGACTCTGATGTCTTACCTCAGAGCAAAAATCCACTTAGCCCATCTCCAAGAAGCTCAAAGGTTCTAGAATTGCTAAAAGATCCAATCAGACTTTCCTCTGAGACTCAAGGCAGAAAGTTTTGTTTTTCTAAGATACAATGATATGGGCCAAACACGTCCATTTCAAAGAAAACAAAGAACCATCAAGGAGGTGTTAGGCCAAGCTGAGATTGAAACTATCAGGAAAATATTATATCCTATAGCTTAAATTTTTTTAACATATGTACTGTTTTGCCTGTGTGCCTGAATGTGCACTACATGTGTGCCTTGGTGCCCATGGAGGCCAGAAGATGAACTCATATAAACACATCAGTATGAGCTGCCTGTAGTGGCTGCTGGGAGCCAAACCAGTATCTTCTGCAATAACAGCTAGTGTGCTTAATCACTGAGCCATCCGTCCAGCCCCTGTAGTATGTATTATGTAGTTTGTGTCCAGCATTTAGGGTGCATGGAACATGGTATGAGCTCCAAAGGGCTTGGGCAGTCCCACCTCTAGGCCCTACTTGCTGCAGCCCCTGCATTCTCTCTCCTGGGCTGTTTGTGCTGCTGCCGGCAGCTTTCCTCAGCACGTCTACTGCCCAGGAAGCTCTAACTTCCTGGGGTCTCTTTTGTAGCTTAGGTTTCACCTTCGGAGCTTCAGACTCCATCCTTCCAAGGGCAAACAATTTGCAGGAATCTTGACTTTGCCTCCCAAGACTTTGCTTTGAAACCTCCTTAGGAGCCTCCACAAGTTCATTATCTCTGTGTTCTCTGTACCTCAAAACTAGCATCACGGGGCTGGAGAAATGGTTCAGTGGTTAAGAGCACCGCCTGCTCTTCCAAAGGTCCTGAGTTCAATTCCCAGCAACCACATGGTGGCTCACAACCATCTGTAATGAGATCTGTGCCCTCTTCTAGCAAAGTACTGAGAATACTGTATACATAATAAATAAATAGGGAGCTGGAGATATGGCTCAGTGGTTAAGAGCATTGCCTGCTCTTCCAAAGGACCCGAGTTTGATTCCCAGCAACCACATGGTGGCTCACAACCATCTGTAAAGAGGTCTGGCGCCCTCTTCTGGCCTTCAGGCACACACACAGACAGAAAATTGTATACATAATAAATAAATAAAATATTTAAAAATAAATAAATAAATCTTAAAAAAAAAAAACCAGCATCACATGGACAACGCTAAGGTCTGCCACAGGCCTAGCTATAAATGGGCCCACTTGGACTTTGGCTTCAGTGGCCTTTGAGTGCCTAGGTGTCCCTCGGCAAGCAGGCTGCCCCAGCAGCTCTCTCCTGAAATTAATCTTCTTGCAGATCATCCTCGGCTCCGACTTTGCAAAAGGCCCTTTTCGGGTCAAACCGAAGGCTTTGCAAATCCTTCTCTGCTCTTGCTTCTGATTTTCACTGCAAACCTGGCTAAAAGCCAGCGATACCCATGCTATAGCCTGAACACTGGGTTGCTTGGAATTTTTTCCCCTGAAATTAAATAATTCATCACCTTTAAACTCAGCCTCATACACAGTCTCAGAGAGAAAGCAAAGTGGAGAGTTCCCTGCTACCGTACGATACATGAGGTCTCAAATCTTTTTTTTGAAATATTTATTTATTTATTATGTATACAATAGTCTGTCTGTTTGTATGTCTGTAGCCCAGAAGAAGGTATCAGACCTCATTACAGATGGTTGTGAGCCACCATGTGGTTGCCGGGAATTGAACTCAGGACCTTTGGAAGAGCAGGCAATGCTCTTAACCACTGAGCCATCTCCCCAGCCCCACGAGGTCTCAAATCTAACTCCTTGCAGAACCCAGACTCTCAAGAGCACAGGCTCTGTTGTTTGCATTGCTGTCAGTACTGTGGCCTCTGTGTTTATGCCAAAGTCACCTCGTGTGATGACTAATCTCACTTGTCAACTTGATGAGCTGTAGAATCACCTGGGCAATAGGTTTGTGGGAGATGGACTTTTAAAAAAGATAATTCTTGGGCTGGAGAGATGGCTCAGTGGTTAAGAACTCTGGGGGCTCTTCCATAGATCCTGAGTTCAATTCCCAGCAACCACATGGTGGCTCACAACCATCTGTAATGAGATCCAGTGCCCTCCTCTGGCCTGCACGCATACCTGTAGGCAGAACACTGTATACATAATAAATAAATTTAAATAAATAAATAAATGGTCCTGCCGGATGGCGGTAACACATGCCTTTAGTCCCAGCTCTTGGGAGGCAGAGGCAGGTGGATGTCTGTGAGTTCGAGACCAGTCTGGTCTACAGAGGGAGTTCCAGGACAGCCAAGAGTGTTACACAGAGAGACCCTGTCCTGAGAAAACAAAACCAACCCAAAATAAAACAAAGCAAAACAAAGCAAAATCCTCTCTGTGTGCATGATGTATGTGTGTGGTGGCATGTGTCCCATGACAAGCATGTGAAGGCCAGAGGGCAACTTCGTGGCATTGGTTCTCTCCTTCTGTCATTATTAGAGCTTTGCGGATTGAACTCAGGTTTGCCATGGATATGTGATTTTACCCCCTGAATCATCTTGCTGGCCCTAGGATTATCTCAGTTGTATTAATTGAGTTGTCTGTGGTGGGTGGCACCATTCTCTGGGGTTGGGTTCTAGACTGTGTAAAAAGAAGAAAGTTGGCCCGTTAGAGGGCTCTGCTCATAATTGGCCTGAGAAAACTTCCAGAACAAGATGTTTATGCTGGCTTTGATGAGACTTCTGTGTGACTTCTTAGCTAGTCACCGTGGTATGTGTCCAGATGGCCTTGCGGGATGTGTTTTCTGGCCTGAGGTGTTGAGCAGAGGAACAATTTTAAGGCTTCCAGGGGCTCTAAACTGGAACTCCATTCTGGAAGTTACTTTGCTCTGATCTCTTCTTTCCATTCTCCTGGCTCAGGCATCCTTCGTGCAGCTGAACACAGAAGCAAAGACCGGGCACCTCTCAGCCGGAGACGGGGGCTCTCGAGGATTCCCCAGCACCATGCTTCAGGTGAGTGGCTCTAGGTTGGACCCTGAGACTAACAAGGACACTTATGGTTAGAGAGGACCCTGGCTAGAAAGGGGTCAGTCAGGGAGTTGGCGACATCCTGCTATGCTTAGGAGCTTGGATTCTTACTCTCTGCCTCTCCAACGGAGTAGTCACGGTAGGAATGGAAGCAGGTGCTGTCTTCCAGCAAAGGCATCCTTTGTGCAGAGAAGGGCCACGTCCTTCTTACAGCCTTGTAGGCCCACCCGTTCTGAACCCTCACCTCGAGATCCCTTCTAACCTTGAGGCTTGTTATTCCATTTTGTAGATGGAAGGCGGTGCCCAAGATGACCTTGCCTGGCCCTGGGGATACTGAAGGGTGGGTGGTAGGGATGAAGACTTTTAGATTCCAACAGCTATGGTTTTGCTCCACACTTCTGATCAACAAAAAAGGAGCCTGAATGAGGAGATAGCAGGAACCTCAACCTTGTCTGAGGATGTTGGGCTCAGGGGCTGCTGGTTAGACTGCATGTTAGACTCTGTGTAGACTTTTAGGAGGTTTTGTAGATGCAAGGGAGGGGATGGAGAGGGAGGGGCATAGGTGATAGCTAGGGTAAAGGCTGGTCAGTATTCCAGCTGGCACCTGTTGGACAGCAGGCACAGGTGTATTGGGGTACTCCCTGCCATGTGGTTGTGAGTCAATGGCAGATGTAGGCAGGGTCCCAAGCTGGCTGATTGACAAGTCAGACAGGACCTCCTTGAGCCTTGCCCTATCTTCTCTTCTGCCTTCCACAAAATCCTGTTCTAGCAATTGTCAGATAAGCCATTTTTTCTTCCATACCATGAGTGTGGCTGCTGGGCTACAGGTCAAGTATGGAATGCAGAAGTCACAGTCCTCCCAGGCCCACTGGTCCCCAGCTCTTGACTGTCACACTTTCCTTTTCCTCTGAAAGCAAGACATGCTGGAAAGCCTCGGACCTACTATTCTGCTTCCTATCTCTGTAGCTCTGATGACGCTGGGCATGTCACATGACAGGAATCCCACAGGACATGTCCTCCTCCTCCCCCTCTTCCTCCTCCTGCTTCTCTTTTCCTCTTTCTCCTCCTCTTAGTGCTCTTCCTCTTTCTTGTTTAGATAGGACCTCACTAGTAGCTTAGGTTGGCCTTGAACTTGTCCTCCTGCTTCAGCCTCCCAAGTGAACAAGTTCACTCTAGTTGGCCACTGAACTTCCTGTGGAGCTTTGAAGAGGCTCTCCCCCATCAGAGTGATGCCAACATGTCTTTCAATCAGAGTGGACTCTTCATTTCTAGCCTCCATCTTCCTTCCCTGGTAGGAGTCATGTCCAGGGCAAAGATGCTACACCTGGAATTCCTTGCAACTTGGTTCATTCAATCATTCATTCACTCAGCAAACACTAACCCAGGCTCTGGGGTCAAGGTGAGCGTGTTGCCTGCTTGCAGTTTGTCTGATTAAGGTTCCCTGCTCCCTGTCTCCCCTTCTCCTCTCTCAGTTCCAAGGACAAACATCAAAAGGATCAGAAGTGCTTCTTACAAAAGAGAGTCTCCAAAGTCATCTGTCCCCCGCAAAACTGTCAAAGGCAGAGGTGAGATTTGCTACTTGGGACCACAGAGTCTGTGATTCTAGATGGTGAGGGTGACACAAGGCTCTTGATTCTGTGCTGGGGACATGGCTGCCAATTCTACCACGTGCAAGGAAGCTTGAGGGTCTTGGGATCTGAGGATGCCTTGTTGTGAAGCAGAAGTCCACAGCTCCCTAAGTGATGTGACTGTCCTTTAAGCTCCTGCAGATGGGAATGACATAAAGCCGTTTGGCCACACGCCGGTGGAAGCCCCGGCTCTCCCCTTTGTCTGAGGTGTGTGGACACTTTGCTGTGTGCCTTCCTGGATATGGGGTCCAGGATTATTGGTGAAAGCATGTTTGGGCAGTGGGGGTGGAGAGGCTCTGTGAGCTGCCTGCAGGTGTTCCGCCCTGACCCATGTGGCTGTCAGTTTTATGGCAGGTCCTCAGGGGATTGAGATAGTGACCTGGGATGGCAGGTGAGCTTCTATCTAGGGCACCTCCTTTATTGAGCTTGGATTCTTTTTTGTTTTGTTGTTGTTTTTTGAGAAAGAGTTTCTCTGTTTCAGTTCTGACTATCCTGGGACTCGCTCTGTAGACCAGGCTGGCCTTGAATTCACAGGGATTTGCCTGCCTCTGCCTCCTAAGTGCTGGAATTAAAGGAGTGTGCCACCACTGCCTGGCCTGAGCTTGGATCCTTATAGATACCCAGCCTCCCAGTCAGGGTGCTGCCTCTATAGCTTGTGGGGGTGAACTGAAGGGCTCCCTCCATCTAGCTGGATCCTTGAACCCCAAAGAAAGGCCATATGTGAGTGTTTTCAGATGCTTGGGAAGAGTCTAGGATGTCTTTGAGACATGCTAAGAGAGAGGTAGCTTGGCTCCCATTTTGTAGATGTGGGAACTGAGACCCAGGGAGGTTTGGCAGCCTACTCAGGGTCACATAAGCAGAGACCTGGGCTGGGCCTTGACCCATCTAGCTCCAGGCTGTGTGCCCTGCTGGAGAACCAGGTGTATTTAGAAACCATGCCTGAGCCCTTGTCTAGACCTCCTGCTCCAGCATGGGCTCAGCAAAACCATTGAGACTTTCCAGGTTGTAGAGATTACTTCCCATTGGGGTTGAAGTCAATTTGTCAGGACTAAACATGAAGGCCACACAGGGCCTGGGAGAACTTTCTCCCTGCCTCAGTTTCCCCACCCCTATGAAGTCACCATTCTGTAGCCACCAGCATGGGTAGTATGGGTTCTGTGTACACCTCCATTTCAGCTCAGGATCCTGTCGCCTCTGCTCCCAAGCAAAGCCGTGTCTTCTAGGATAACGAGTCTCTGCCTAGCCCACTGTGTCTTAGCAGAGGTTATACACAAGTCTTCCAGAGGTGATACAGGGTGTGGAGGACAAACACCTTTGGCACCCAAGAGTGAGAGACACGGTAACGACAAGAAGGTTCTGGAAGGTGCCCTGAAAATGCATAAAATACAACCACCTTCCGCATCATCATCATCTGTCCCCCCCCCCCCCGCGCCCCGCTTTCTGTTGTTTTGTTTTAATGGCTTGCTTGAAAAATGACCTGCCGTCTGCCTGACACAGGGTCAGAGGGCGTGCCACCGGCTGCATTCATCATCGTAGTCACCTTGTCACCCTGATGGTAGTGACCATTAGTTTCTGTCAGTGACGAAGCCACAGCTGGGCTAAGGAGAGATGAGTTTGGGTTCAGGGGTCAGAGCCACAGGACTTGGGAATTGGATGAATTAGAAATTTGCTGTAGTTAACAAAAAATTAAATCACAATAGATATAAAATATTCATCCATCCGGGCCAAAGGAAAATGAAGCCCGATATTTAATTTCAGATTATATCACCTCGCTTTGCATTTTTTATCATAGATTAGGTCGGTCTGGAGCTTTGACAGGGCACTTGGGGACTCCATCCATTTCCACAGATTAAAAATCCTCCCGTAAAAAAATTAATTGCCATTAAACTGCTCGGCAGAAGAAAAAATGTGCCCATCAGGACCCATTTATCGACCAGGACTCCTCTGGTGGGCTAATGGGGAGGCTGGATGAGTGTGAGAGGCCAGTGGGGGCCGTCTTCCCTACATGGGGCCTCTGGCTCAGTGCCTGGCAGAGAGAGCACATGACCAGGTGGGTGCGGCACATAAAGGCAGGACTGAGATGCTTCTTGGGAAGCTCAACCATCCCCCTCCCTACTGAAACCCGGGTGTGACCAGCCCAACCAAACACCTCACTCTGAGACTGAAGAATTCTGCTCCTATTCTCACCCCCCTGAAAAGGCAGGAACCATTCTAGGCCCTGTCAGGAGGCGCTGTTAAACACAGTCCCCTCTTATAGACGGAGAAGTCTAGGCACTAGCCCTGTAGCCATGGCTGATGGACAGCAGCTGGGATTTGCCCCAGGTCTGGACTATGAGGCCCCAAGGTTAACCTTTCTTGGCCTGGTGTCCTGTTCTGCAGCAGACTGTCTTAAACCGGTCTCTGTTTAGTTATGCAAGCATCCACTAAAACAAAAGCACATTTGCATACTAATGGATGCCTTGCTTATTTATTTGCATATTTTGCATAAAGGATTAAATCTCTCCTGAATATTTGATAACACAGGATGCGAAAGCATTCTCAAGGTTTTTCAAACTTGATTGATTTTCACATAAATATGTACCAGGAGTGTGCTTAGGGCTTTTTCAGAATTGTTGGAAATTCTGTCCCAACCCCCAGAATCCACTTGACAGCTGTTTTTGTTTATGTATGAGGGTTTTACCTGTCTGTTTGTATATGCACCATATACATTCCTTGAGCCTCTGGAAGCTAGAAGAGGGTTGCTGATCCCCTGGAACTGGAGTTACAGGCAGTTGTAAGCCACCATGTAGGTGCTGGGAATTGAACCCGGGTCCTCTGGAAAAGCAGCCAGTGCTCTTAACCACCTGGAGCAGGAGCGTGGGTGGAGTGGCTGGGAACACACTAGGTGTGATGTGAGTTTTGCAGAGCTGGTTGGACCCAAAGTAGTATGTCTGTGTCTGTGAGCAATTTGTGTGCATGTGCACTTCACACATGCGAGTGTAAAAAGCATGTGTATATGGTTGCTTGTGCATTTGAGTGCTTGGTCATGTCTGTGAATGAGTGAGTGCATGTTTGTGAACATATGAGCATGTGGAAATATGTAAGCATGTGTGCTAATGTGAATGAGTGCATATGAATTACGTGAGCCTGCATGTGAACGTATGAGTATGTGGATTATCATGGGCTGAGAACCTGTGTGAATGGGTGAGTGTGTGCAAGCATGTGAACATGTGAATGTGTGAGTCTGTGTGTGAGCCTCGTGTAAGCCTGTGTAAGAAAACTGTGAACTTACCGTGAACTATGGATGGGGCAGAGTGGAGAATGTTCATCCCACGAGGTGGCCTTCTAGAAAAAATTGCGTACATTTTGATAGTTGAATGCATTTTTAAAAAATATTTATTTATTATGCATACAATATTCTGTCTGTGTGTATGTCTGCAGGCCAGAAGAGGGCACCAGACCTCATTACAGATGGTTGTGAGCCACCATGTGGTTGCTGGGAATTGAACTCAGGACCTTTGGAAGAACAGGCAATGCTCTTAACCACTGAGCCATCTCTCCAGCCCTAGTTGAATGCATTTTAAAGCAAGGACATGGGCTGTGACTCTGGCCAGCTTCAGAGTGTATTAATTTCTCAGCTAAGGTATGTGGTTGTGACATGGCTTCCGTCGTGGCCCTGGCAGGAGACCCTGGCTGAGTGGCTGGTTGCGGGTGTCACCGGAGGCTGCGGCCTTGCCGTTGTTCCTGGTCAAATGTGGGCTGTGTGCCTAGGCTGGTGTGGAATACTCATGGGGAAAGTTGTTGTTGGGGAGTCTTCATTACCCTCGCCATTGAACAGGATCCTGGGGTTCACCATCAGTCACCCTGGGGTGCTCCTCACCCACGCTGGCTAGTGACTAAACATCTGGCTTTGTTCCCACAGGGGTTTGGATGTGAGGGGTTTCCCTGTGAGCCCTTGTGGGGTATGCCAAGTTGTCTCCAGAAGTGGTGTGAACCATTGCCAGTGGTCTGAGGGCCGTGGCCCGGCTGTGTGTTTTCTATTTAAGATTCTGAGTTGACTGGTGTGTACGCCTGGAGGAAAGGACAAGCCCTGGTGAGGCGGCTGCTTGGGCCCCCTCCTGCCCTCTCCCGGCTCCAGAACAAGGCCCCCGCCACGGAATTAGGTACCTCTTGCCTCAGCCTTAGCCTGCTATGTTTTGCTGTGGCATTTGTGAGTAGGCACAGAGATTTCTGTGCTGCCCCCCCAGGGTGGTAACTGGGCAGCCTCTCGAGATTTCCCGGATAGACATTTGGGAGTAATTACCTTTACAAACCTGAAGAGAGCTTTTCTCAGCTTTGAGAGCAGACGTGCTACGTGGGCTTTTGTGAAGAGAGTGGATGGAAATGGCCACTCCTGTGGGGGACACCTGCTGCCCTTCCGTGTACCCCGCCAACACATGTGGAGCTGGCTCACTCAAATGCAGCACTTGTCCTCCTGTGCACTGATCATAAGGGCAGAGACTGAGAGGGAGCTTGTGGAGCCAAGGCCAAGGTCTCCCTGGTCACCCCCATGATGTCCCGAATGGAGGAGCAGGTCTGTTCTTTCCCCCAGCCCACAGACCTCAACACTCCTTCATCGCTTGTCTTTGTAGGCTCTGACAAGGAAGCAGGAAGAGTCGGGGACACATCTGTCCACACCTGGTTCTCTAAGCTTCCCTGTGCCCGTGGTGACCAGCAGATTTCTGAGCACACACCCAACCTAGCTTTCCAAGTTCAGTCAGGAACTATCCAGGGTGCCATTGAGATCCTACAAGACCTGCGCCAGCAAATCCAGACTGGTCTGGAGCTTGCCAGGTGCCCCAGGGTGGCAAGGAAGCTCTCGTCATCAAAACCAAAGCCACAAAACCTGGCAGGGAAGAGCCAGCAGGGACTCCAGAACCCCTGGGACATTCAGGGCTCCCCAAAGAGTTCTTGGACTACAACAGAAGGGAAATGCTCTTCCTTGGGCAGGGCTGGAAATTTGCACAGCCAGCAACACTGGAAGAAAGCGGCGGCTGAGCGGGAGTCTTGTCCACAGAGAGCTTGGGCAGCACAGGGACAACACACCTCCTTCCAGGGGCCTGAAAGCACCCCAGAAAAGCCAGGCTCCTTCTCCCAGCGGCCCTGGAGTGCCATGGCTTGGCAAACCAGTCCACAGAGGGCCTGGGAAAATCTAGGACAGGATCCCTCCTTCCAGAGGTCTGGAAGCCCCCCTAAAAAGTCAGGCCCCTTCTCACAGCGACCCTGGAGCGCTCTGGCTGGCCAAGCTTGTTCACAGAGGACTTACACAGCTGGTACAGACTGGGAGGTTCCTGGGTACAGCCCATGGAACTCTGTGGCGAGGGTACATCCTGTTCTCCAGCAGCCCTGGAGTAGTGCCTCTGTTCAGAGTCCCTACAGTAAGGAAAAAGGTGCTGGCCCTCCTCCTTCAAAAGTCAAGCCAGCTTGGCCAGAGCCTGCCCAGGACTTCCCTCAGAGCAAACCAGCAAAGGAGCAAGATACCCTGGAGACCCCACCCTGTCCAAGGCCACAGCAGCCTCTGGGCCAGCCACGTAACTCTGAGTCCTTGCGTGACTTCATGCGCCGGAAGGCCCAGGCCCGACGCCAACAGGCCATGGAGCAGAAGACCTTGGCTGCACACACTCTGGAGCTGCGGAACCAGAGGCTGCAGGAGCTATATCGGAAACAGCAAGAGGCCATCCTGGGCAAGGCTGTCCCTGTGGTTTCCCAGAGGAGCCCTGGCATCGTCACCTTTGTTCCCAGTTCCGTACAGTCTGAGGTATGTGCTCCGTGGTGATGAGAAGGGGATTAGCCAAGCCTTTGAGCCTGAGGCTCTTGGCTATCCCTGCCTGCCTACTGCCCATCATCAGGTGGGTGGTTGGGTGCCACTGGGCCCTGGGGGGTGAGATAGCATTGCCTCTGGGCAGCTTGAGGGAATACCTGGGATGGAGACAATGCTAACGAGAAGAGGATAAGCTTGGGACACCTTGGTCCCTGGCTGGGATGGTGGCAATGTTGGGGATTGTTCCTAGCTGAACTTGGTTCCTGTTTGATTGTCTGGCGGGGGAGTTTCAGCACAGTCCCCACAGATAGACAGGACTAGAGGTATTTGCCTCTTCACCCCTAATTCTTTGAAATGCCCCGAGAGTCCAGGCTGAAGCCCTGGTAGAGGCTGGAGCCCAATTCTGACCTGAAATGAGGGTGTGGGTCTTATGTGTCTTCTCTGTTTTAGGACCTGGAAGCCCCCGGGAGTTTCGGGTCACCACTGCAGAAGTGGAGCAAGGTGACATCTGGCATGGTGCTTGGGAACCAGGAGGCTCCAGACAGGTGGGTGGGGATGGCAGGGATGCTCTGCCTGGGCAAAAATATAGGGAGCTTGGGGTGGAGTAGGGGAGGATGGGTGCTCATGACAGTGTGGCTCCTTGGGGGACCAGCCGTGGCAACCCCGGTGCCTTACGGAGCAGACACTGCTGTGTTTTGCTGAGGTGGGAAAGTCACTGTGATTAGAAGCAACACATTTGTGTAGATATGTGTGCATGCACGTGAATGGACTTTGTGTGTATACAGTTCCACATGTTTGTGTGTTTGTAGGCCAGAGGTTAACCTCAGATATTGGCACTCAGGAGTTATCAACCTTGGGTATTTGAGTCAGGGTCTCTCCCTGGTACTTTTGTCTTGCTGATTAGGATAGACTGGCCAGCCAGTGAGCTCCAGGAATTCTCCTGCCTCCGCTCCCCTAACATTGGGATTATAAAGGTGGACCACCATGTCTGTTTTGTTTTAATGTGGATCCTGGAGAGTAAATTCACGCTTATATGGCAGGCATGTTACTGACTGAGCTCTCTACAGAACAGCCTTTTTGTTTTTCAAGACAGGGTTTCTCTGTTTAATGGTCCTGGCTGTCTTGGAACTCACTTTGTAGACCTGGCTGGCCTTGAACTCACAGAGATCTTCCTGCCTTTGCCTCCCAAGTACTGGAATCTTTTTTTCCTTTTTATTTATGTATTTATTTTATGACTGCATGTATGCCTATGTAAGGATGTTGTATCCTGGAACTGGAGTTAACAACAGCTGTGAGCTGCCATGTGGGAGCTGGGATTTGAACCCATATCCTTTGGAAGAGCAGCCAGTGTTCTTAACCACTGAGCCACTGAGCCATCTCTCCAGCCCTTTCTTTCTTTCTTTCTTTCTTTCTTTCTTTCTTTCTGTCTGTCTGTCTGTCTGTCTGTCTGTCTTTCTTTTTCCCTTTCTCTCTCTCTCTCTCTCTCTCTCTCTCTCTCTCTCTCTCTCTTTCTTTTTGTTTTTGTTGGGGGGGTGTTTGTTTTTCAAGACAGGGCCTCCTGGTGTAGTTCTGGCTGTCTTAAAACTTGCTCTATATACCAGACTGGCCTAGAACTCACAGAGATCTGCCTACCTTTACCTTCTGAGTGGTGGCTGCCCAGAACTATTTATTTTTAACATATAAATGTATTTAGTTAGTATTGTGTGTATGGAGGTGAGGACATGCTGTATAGCTTGCCTGTGGAGGTCAGAGGACAACTTGGTGGAGATGGCTCTCTCCTGCCACCTTCACATGAATTCCAAGGACTGAACTCAGGTTGCCAGGCTTATGTAGCAAGAGCCTTTACCCACTGAGACATCCTGCCTGCTCCCAGCCTGTTTTTAAATGCACAGGATGAGAACATTGTGGTCTGCAAATGTTACCTGTCTGTTACCTCCAGCATCTCTATAGGAGATCCACACTGTAAGCTGCCACCTCCACCCACTACTCCACACTGTAAGGTGCCAGCCCCACCCCCAGCCCTCAGAATATAGCTTCTGACACTTCAGTGGTGTCCTGAGTGTCCTTCCCTTTGTTCCCTGTTGGGAAGATGTAGACTCAGCTTTTGCAGCCTGCTGGTGCACTAGGGTCTCCTCACATTTCCTTTATCCAGTGCTGTGACTCAGGTTAGTCTCCCATTCAGCTACCCCAATGGGGTGCTCCTGGAATCCCTGCACTTGTCTGAACATCTGCCTTTGTTTTTCCTGATGCTCTCCCTGGTGTTCATGCCACACAACAGTCCAGAACAGCAGACCCCTAAATGCCTAAATACTCAAAGGAAAACAGATTCCTTTCATTTCAAAGATCCTTTTATTCATTATATAGACAGTGTTCTGGCATGTAGGGCACCAGATCTCATTACAGATGGCTGTGAGCCGCCATGTGGTTGCTGGAAATTGAACTTAGGACCTCTGGAAGAGTAGCCAGTGTTCCTAACCTCTGAGCCATCTCTTCAGCCCCCAAAACAAAATTCTAACATTGAAAATTAAATTCTGTAAACACACAAAAATTAAAGTCTTTAAGAGATATATTGACATTTCAAAGAGAGATTTACTTGAGAGACATAAACGTAGCAGAACATTTCAGAGGCCACTTTATACAGTATAATAGGCAAGCAGGACACAGGCACTTGCCATTAGTACTCAGGGACAATCACAGTGAATACATGGTGGCTGTGGGCAGACAGGCCACACTCAGTAGGAGACAGGGCACTATCTGTGTGGCTGAGTACCCAGCCTTCTCATCTTAGTCATCTGGATAAGGGATAGATAAGCTATCCTCTGGGGGGGAGATGCCACCCAAACAGTGGGTCCCAACAGTTTAATCTTTTGCCGAAGTGGGTCTGTAGGAAAGACATCTCACAGGCCAAGGGGGCCTCAGTGTTTCCTGGGTGCACATTTTGTGCACCCAAGCCAGTGTATGAACGTGCTCTTTGCAGAGCCTCACTGGCAGAAAGCGCCAAGAAATGATTCATTAGAGCTCTCTAGACGTCTTTGTGAATTACATCTCCTGCCCTGTGAGGATGTGAGTGAAGAGAAAACACAAATGAAAGACAGCATTGACAAATCAGATGTGGGAAAAGAACCCCACAGAACCAAATGAGGAAAAACTCGAAGGGTTTGTGACTAAGGCCACAGAGGCCACACGGTGGACATGGACAGCATGTACAGGCCATCTCTGAGAGATGCTACCTATATGGCCTTGGGCTGGTTTGGGAGTCTTAGTCACGGTGGGAAGCTTCTGTTTTTCTGTTAGGGCCTTGCTTCTTGGGGACCGTTTTCCTGTTCATTTCTTTTGAGGGTCTCCCAAATACTGGACTTTGGAGGATCCCTTGCAGGTATACAAATATGTCCTCAGGATTCTAGGCATTCTTGAGGATGCAGGAGCTGTGGCCATGCAGAGAGCAGAAGGACCCAAGCCACAATGTCTGGCTTGCCATCCTCTCATGCAGGCTTTCCCCCCTGAGGCTTTCCCCCCTGGGATATGAGCTCCCAGGGCTTTGGTTTCAATATTCAGAATTTTAATATTTCAGGACCAGGATTTTAGACTTATGAGAAATTTATTTTTTCAAGATTTCAACATGTGGGTTTGTGTTTGGCACTGAGTACCTGGAAGAGGACTTCACCTGTGTGTCCAGCTCCTAACCCATTACTCCTGTCCTGGATAGCCCATCTGCTCCCATCACAGCAGGCTGGGAACACACGGCCCAGGCACAGGGACCCAGAGGTCCACTCCAGGATGATGTATGGGGTTTGTGTGCACTGTGTTTCTCTGTGGAGTTCTTTGAGGAACTTGCAAGCTGTTTGCCACAGTGGCTTCAGCATCTCCCATCCCCACCAGCAACGTGTGCCCTTCTTTCCTTCCCCCTCCCCTCCTTCCTTCCCTCTCATTTCCTTCCATCACCACCAGAACAGGACAGCTCCTCCCCTCCTCCACCTCTGGATTTTGTCAGCCACTCCTTGGCCTGGTCTCATTCTGGCCACCTGCTAAGGTACTCATGGCCAGCACAGGAAGGCAAGGAGGAGGAGGAGACACAAGAGATTGGCAGCTCCTCATAGGAGATTGCTCCCAGAAATATCCTGCCCTAGGCTCACTTGGGAGAAATTTTGAGATGGCCTCCTTGGTGCTTGCTCCTACCCCTCTGTATATACCTTTAGCCAGATGGGATGGATGCTCCTCCTCCTCTTGACGCCTCTCCCCAGCTCCCTCCTTCCTTCTGCCCAGTCTTTCCCTGGCTGTATCCTGAGATAACATGACTGAAGTGAAGCCTAGATGCCTGGATCTGTGAACTTCTAAAGCAGCCTCTATCTCCAAACAGAGGAGGACTCAGGTCCAACCAGTTGCTGTACCCATGGGTAGTCCTCAACAGCCTGCGTAGCTCCTCCAGCGTCCTGCAGTGTTAGAGGGGGTGTCCCCTTCACTGTGGGAAGCTATAGACCTGTCTCTCTCTCTACTGCATCCTGGCCCCTTTTTTATTCCCACTCTTTAAAACTATACTAAAACACATATAACATTTACAACGATAACCATTTTTTAAATCCTCAATCCATCTGGATTTTGTTTTAAGTTTATGCTTAACTGATACATAAAAACATAAAAATTGTACATATGGATGGCTGGGATACATGTGGTATTTTGATACACACACACATTGCATGATATTTAAATTAGGTTAAATGCATCCATTTCCAAACATTTATCATTTCTGTATGATAAAATATATTCACCATCTTTTTTTTCTAATCTTTTTTTGGTATTGTACGGTATGTTATAATAAAGGGCGATTAGAATAGCTTCAACTATAGCCCAGTTGATCGGCTTCTTTCTGCTGGTCTCTCACACACCCTCCCCTGGTCTTCTGTGTTGGGAACTGAACCCAGAGCTTCACACCTGTTAGACAAGCCCTCTACCACTGAGCTATATCCCTTACTTTTGTTTATTTATATACTTACTGTGCCCTGGCTGGCCTCAAACTCACCAAGATCCACCTGCCTCTGTCTCCTGAGTGCTGGGACTAAAGGTATTTACCCCCTTCCCAGCCTTTAAAACCACAACAAAACAAACAAAACCAGTCTTTTATTAAGTTGTATTAAGTTTATTAAGTTGCCCAGGCAGGCATTAAACTCTTCCTGCCATGGTTGCCTAGGAAACTGGCTTTTTCAGGCCTGGGCCGCTGCCACCTAACTTCTTTTGTTGTTTGTTTTGATTCGCTTCTTTTTTTATTTTTATTTGTTTGGAGACAGGGTCTCGTTGTGCAGCTCTGACTGGTCTAGGGCTCATAGAGATGCTCCTCCCCCTGCTAGGAGGGATTAAAGGCGTATAACATCACATCAGCATTTGCACTGTGTTTTAGGTGAGGGTCTCACTGTGCAGTTTTTTCAGCCTCTCAGAGTGCTGAGATTGCAGACATACACCACCATGCCTGGTTTAACTTTTAGAGGCACAGCCAGGGGCATCAATTCGAATTACTGTGCAGTCATCACCACCATCCATCCTCAGAACGTTCTCCCCCCGCCCCCCCGCAATGGGTCCTCTGTCCCATTAACCCCAACCCAGAAGCCCTTGCCAGTCCCTGGCATCATCGTCTGTTGATCTGATGGCCTACATGAACTCAGACGTGTGGAATCCTGTGAGACTTGTCCTTTTGTGGCCGATGTCGCTCAGCTTGATGCCTCTGAGGTTCACCCCTGGTGTAACAGGGACCATTCCCTCTTCCTTCTTAAAGCTGAGAAACATTCCATTGTGGAGCACAGTTAATAAAAACCCAGAGACAGATATTGGGGTTCAACCTGAAGGTCAGAAAAGCAAAACAGCCAGCCACTGACTCTGACCACTACCTCAGTCCAAAATGGTGATCCTCCCTCCAGGAATCTCAGAATGAGACTGTGTGAAAGAGCTGTCTCCTAGCATTTTGTGTTCCTCTCTAGAGTTGGGATTAAAGGCGTGCTCTGCCTGGTTTCTATGGCAAACTAGTGTGGCTACTGGGAGGAAAGATGTGTGCCACCACTGCCTGGTCTGTAAGGTTGTCCAGTGGTGCTGTTTTACTCTTGATCTTCAGGCAAGCTTTATTTATTAAAATACAAATGAAATATCACTACACCGTTGTGTAGATGGGACCCGTGTTGCCAAACCATCATCCGCTCGTGGACCTCGTTTGTTTGTTTGTTGTTTAGCATTGTCTGTTGGGAGCATTGCTGCTGGGAGCGTGGTGTGCAGACATCTGTTCACACCCTGGCTTCTGGTACTTTTACCCAGAAGGAGAATTGCCGGCAGTTGTGTTAATTTGGTGTTTGGTATGTGAAGACTCACCAGACTATTTCCCAGGGACGGTGGAGTCTGACATTCCTGCCAGCATGTGTCTCTATACCTCACGCACACTTGGTCCCCATTCTACTGAGCCACGTGTGATATGATACGTGGTGTCCTAGCCTTGACCTCTGGTCTGTGGTGAACCCTGACTCTCTCACAGATGGCCTCATTGTCTTTCCTTGCTGCACACGTGTGTTTTGCACATACGGTTCAACGCCGTGTTGCTGGAGATGAGTGTCCAACCACTCCTCTCTCTCTGCAGCTTCTGTCTGTGTTTGAACAAACCATGGAACCGTGCTGAGACCCAGAACACTGGATGCCCCCGGGAAGGTGTAAGTGGCCCCCCTCTGCTACTGTCTACTGATTTCCTTCCTCCCCTGACCCCATTAAGCTCCAGGACCTGTCCAGGGGGCTATGTGTCTACCTGGACCCCCAGGACACTGAGCACCTGGGCCCATTGGGCCTCCCACACTTCCAGTACAAACAGGCCCGGCTGCAGGCACTGGAGACCATGGCCGATGTCCTCAAGCAGCGTATCGACATCTTAACCACCAAGTTACACAAGTCGACATCGCCGGACACAGCTGGTGACCTGGCCTCCGACATGCCGCCCTTGGGCCCCAGCACAGCGCCTACCACCCCTACTCTCACGCCTCCTTCTTACCTCAGAAGTTTAGTGTCTGACGGGAGCAGAGGAACTCCCCAGGACTGGGTGGACACGCATGCCAAGCCCCTTCTCCCCAGCACCTACATCCAGGACAGCCCCAGCTGGAAGCCTCTGAGCTCAAACCTGGGGACTCACATTGAGAGCCAGCCCCAAGGTGGGACTGGGCAGTGGGCATCATGCCTATTGGCTGATCCTTGGGCTGGGAGCGACGGGGCCCCATTCCTTTTCCTGTCTGGGGAGCAGGATGGGAGCAATGAGTCGTGACAATAACTGACGCTCCCTGAGTCACGTATAGCAAGACCATGTTGGGGGAGGGTGGAGGTTCTTCCCAAAGCCTGCTGCCTATCTGTCCCACCTTCCCAAGGGGCAAGAAGGCCAGCAAGGCCTCGATGCTCTGCAGGTCTTGTATCCATCACCCCTGCCTCAGTGTCTCAGGTTCAACCTTGCCTTGCCGGCTCATCAAGTCGTGGTGACCTTTCCAAAGGTGCCATAGAGGAGAGACACCGGGAGCTGGAGAGGAAGCTGCAGAAAGAGATGGCTACTCTCCAGGCCCTCGGTGCCTGCATGAGGAGGTGAGTTCTATTGGCCGCGCTGTGGCCATTGAGTCCACCCCTCACGTCCCCTGTGGAGGGTCCTCGTGTTAGCCTAAGGCCCAGAGCGCAGAGTCTGGGTGCATCAGGCTGGTGGAGAGGGACACGGGTTGTACTGATTCTGACGCTGGCCCACCTCACACATCTGGTTTACCTCTGGCCTGAGCCACTCTGGTCAGGGAGACATACTCACCGACAGACACTCCTTTGTGCTGGCCCGCAGTTGATGGCAGATGCATTTGTCCTAACCTCCTCGTTGATGGCTAGCAGGGTGACCGTGTCTGAGGACGCTGACACAGGGTTCATCAGCCTGTCTGGGTTCACTGTCCCAGGAGTTCTTAGGGCTTTTCCCTGTACCGTCTTCTGGCTGTGTCCCCGTCCCTGGCCCCAGCCTTTTCTCAGTGCAGTCCACACAGGAGCTTGAGATGTCCCCTCTGTAGTCTTCATGGCTCTCACACTCATCTCACCCTGTTTCCTTCCCATTCCTGGAAAGGCCTGTTCTGCCCCACTGTGGCCCCGCTGAATCCAAGGTTAGAGAGGACCCAGGAGGGCTTTTCCCTGTAGGAGTCAGCAATTGCCCACCAGAAAGCTAATGGCTTCCTCTATGTGCAGCTATGGTTTCTGTCCTTTCAAGAACTTGGAAGTATGTTTGGTCACTCTCCAGAGAACATCCTTTGCCTCCAATATTTCCCAGCACCTGCCTACTGTCCTTCTACCTGAGCCTTACCCAGGGCCTCCTCCAGCATTAGAAGCTCTGTGATCCCCAACACTCACCCACCCCGCCTCCTTCTTGGGACTCTTTGTGCCATGTGCTACCCACCAGAGGGACAACCTATGTCCTTCTCACTTTGCCGTCCCTAGACAGCAGCACCCTCAACAGGTAACTCCAGCCTCTCCGCGGAGCTGTGGCCAAAGCAGGGGTGCACAGTCTGGGGGAGACCGGGAGGCCCTGTGTCTGTGCTTGACGGAGTTCACCAGAATATCCTGTGACCTCGTCTTGGTTCCCGGGCACTGGGGCTACGTTACACTGCTAACTACAGCCTGAGCTGCCTTCCACTCGACAGCTGGTTCGTTATCTTAGAGGGTGGCCCCTCTCATGCAAGCGGAGGCTCTCATGCCAGGGGTGAGAGCGGAAGCCACATTCTCGGAGCAGGGAGAACGGACTGTGAAGGGGGCTGTGGTTAAGGCAGCTGCTGTGGGGAAGCTTCTCCACTTCTGGCCCAATGCTGGGGAGGGCGTTTATGTCAAATCTCGCTCAGCTGTATGTTTACCTTGATCAAGCACATACTTTCCTCCCCAGGTGAGGTTGCCGAGCACACCCACCTACGTGATCTCCCCAACCCCCATCCCTGCTCTTCCTGGAGCTGGAACACTTCATTCCAGCCACCACCTCCCTAGGAAACCCACCCCTCCTCTAAGAAACCTCTTGTAGATCTGGTGTTTCCCGGACGGTAGAGCCTGTGTCGTCATTGATGCGTAATGGCCATTAGGGGGCAGCATTGTGCTGAGGGTTTCCTCAGCTGATACGACAACCCTATAGACTGTTCCAGAAATGGGAAAGATTTAATTTCTGTATCCCAGGTTCTTACAGGCTAGGTGACCCCAATATTCCAGATGCAGGCCCAGGCCCAGGCCCAGATGGTCCTGGTGCTGATATTCCTGGTACAAAGCCACAGGGGTTGTGGCTTCCCCTCTAGGGGCATCCCACTTGTGATCTTCTCCATAGTTCACCCTAAGAGTCACCAATAGAGTTTCTTAAATGCTAAAATATAGCTCTCCTGGGGGAGACATACTGTCTATGGGCTGAGGCTGGACATACCTGTGCCGTCTTCCACTGGACTCCTGCCCCAGATGAACACACCTGTGTAGGTCAGAGTTCTACAGGACCGGTACAAAGAAGCCCAGTAGCCAAGAGAGACCAGAAGAGACAGAAATCATACTCAAGTTCTGTTTCTCAGAAAGGTGGGGCCCAGGAGAGCAGGGAGGTCACTTGCTGGTCACAGCCAGGTCGCCCTGCCGTGTTTCTTTTGAGGATCAAAGTCAGCCTTCCTGTGTTCCAGGTTGTGTTTCCCCTCCTGTTGCCCTCAGCTCCACGATCAGGCTGAGTCTGCAGAGGTGGGACCCTCTCCCCGAGCCCACAGGCACTTGGTGATGGGTGAGGGTCCAGTCTGTCCCCATCTTCTCACGGTTAAGGACACCAGGGGTCTAGCCAGCTCTCCATGGGACTTGGCCCCTCTTTATCTTCACACTTAATTCTATCCCATTGTTCCTGCTTTCTGGAAATTCTTTCCATGTCTGTGTTCCCACAGTGCCTTGCAGCCTTAACATACGTCCACATATTCAGAAAGAGACCTTTACTCCAGGCGGGGGTTGGGTATGGTCATGCCATACCATAGCCTTGCACGGCACCTAACCCTAAGAAGGCCAGAGAGAGAGGCCTGTGGGCCTCAGGGGCTCCTGGACACAGGCATGGGTGACATGTTTGGTGATTCAGGTGGAGTCCAGGTCACTATGTGCTAGGGACAGATGGTGCCTCGGGGAGAGTTGAGCTGAGGCTGTGTTCACAGCCCACACCAGTCAATTTACATACTCATCCTCTGTGTTCCAGAGCCTTCTACTCCCTGCACCTGCTGCAGGCCCACCTGGACTAGACAGCTTGCCGCCCACTGTGGCCACTTTGACCTTTCCCATCTGAAGAGGGCAGCTGCCTGAGACCGTGCAGAGGAAAGAATTAGGGTCCTTAGTCATGGCTGTACCTCTCCCTGATGGCCCGGCTCTACATCACAGACACAGCGATAGGGCAGAGCCACAACAGTAGCCATGAGGTGTCTCCTCATTCCACACAGCCTGTGGGTGTGTCCTTATCAGCCAACAGGGATGAACAGGATAGCTACGTTGGCACAGTAGGCTATGAGCCCACCTGCAGAGCTGGTAGTGATGGAGCTAACACTGCACACTGGATAGGCTGCTACACACACACACACATTGTGACCATTGACTGATGGACCAGACCTTAAGCCCTGAGGTCTGGCTCTAGACACACTGCCTGGGTCCTAGAGCTGCTGGCGGCCATAGGAGCCCAGATTCCTGCTGAGTTAGGGTACTTGCACTCATCCTCTTTCCGCATCCTGATCCTGACTCTCCTCACCATTGTCTTCTAGCTCACTTGGGTTACCAGCTGCACCAGCCCCCACCTGTGGCTCCCTTTGGCAGGAGGAGAAACTGGGAACCAAAAAGGCAGGCTTGGTAACACCCTGGACCACCCAGAGCTGCGGTAAGGGCGAGCCTGAAGACAGGCCCTGGGCTGGCTGGTCGGGTGGCCAGGGGGGCCTCCCATGGGCCTCTTCCACTGCCTAGCTTGAGCTTGATCTCGCAGGGTAGAGACCTTGTTCTATGTGGACGGTAGCCACATGTCCGTATTAAAGTGTTTTGAGGCTCTCCAGCCCCCACCGCCGACTCTGCTCCTGCTGCGCCTATCATGACGTATGTCATCGCTGGTCTCCAGAACAGTCACACTCCTGCAGCCCGAGAGTGCCACCCTTCTATCCTTCCTTATGACTGTCACCCAGGTTATTCCTTTTGCTTGGTACTTAAGTGTCCTTGTTCCTAGATTTCAGCTGAAGGAACTCGGGACTGAAGAGCTGGCACCTGGAAGGGGTACGAGGCATCCTCTTGCTGACCACAGTAGCCACAGAATCCTGGGGGAACCTACCTGCCCTCAGGGTGCATCCGGGTAGCGGTCTCTAGGCTGCAGGGGGAGTCTTCCTGCACAGAATGGCCAGGAGATGGGTGCCAGGTTTGAACAAGCCTGAGACTCTGTTCACTCTTTCGTTGCTATCTGCTTATTTTCTGCAGAAAATAGGTTTTGAATATGGTAGTAAGATATCCCGTACGCCCAGCCCTTAGGAGACCGAGGGAAGAGGATCACAAATGTAAGGCCAGCCTGGGTAAGACAGAGTTCCAGGCCAGCCTGGGATGCACAGTGAGACCTAACGACCAAACAAGTAACAAAGATGCAAACACACACACACACACACACACACACACAATAGGTAAACGGTGCTGGAGATACAGCTCAAGCGTAAAGTGCTTGCCTAGCATGTATGATGCCGTGGGTTCAGTTCCCAGTACTGCACAACGAAACCAAAGCAAACAGCAACAACAAAAGTGATCACGCCTGTCTTAGAAAACATTAAATGTGACCCTTAGCTCTGCCCGGACTCTTCAATCAGAGTAACCCTAGGGTATTGTAGGATAGGCATCAAGGCCTGAGAAAGGCCCAGGCTTAACCTCCAAGGTAGAGCGGCAGCAGGGTGGGTGAGGAGTGTCTCATATTGGGTTCAGAGCTATGGACATAGCTGATAGGTGTGAGTCAACTCATATGTGTGAGCTGAGTGTGTGTGTGTGTTGAGGGGCTACCAGCTCTACACAATGTGAGAACCAGCAGGTGGAGTCTTCTGGCCCCTGGACCTGGGGGACTCTCTCTCTTAGGGTAGGATATTTGGGGGCCTTCAGGCAAGAGCTGGCAACCCTCCTAGGCTCCAGGGCTACAGTAAAACCTCAGAGGTCCACAGACTTATTGCTCCTGCTACACTGACTGAGTATGACCTCACACCTGACATTGATCAGAGCTCAAGCCTCTATCCCAGCAAAATCTACACTTTGGGGGCACCAGGAGATGGCAGGTGAGACTTCTGGGTCAGGAGAGGCAGGAAGGGCATTTGTGGAGATCCTCGGCCAGAGAAGGCCCTGGTTGGTTTTTTTTTTTTTTTTTTTTAAGTTACTCGCCTCATCGCTGTGACAGAATGCCTGACTGGAATTAAACCCAAGGGGAAGAAGTTATCAAAGGTAGAGACTGTCATAGTGGAGAGCCAAGCGGCAGGCGCTCAGAGCAGCTGGTCACACAGCATCAGCAGTTAGGACGCAGAGATGGCGGATGCTGGTGCTTGGTCCAGAGATAACTGGTAGAAATGTTAGGACCCACAGTCAAGGTGGGTCTCTCACCTCAGTTAGCCCACTCTGGATAGACCCCACAGGTTTGCTGAGACTTGTCTCCTGAATGACTCCAGAGCCTGCCCAGTTGACAGTGTTCCTTGGATCTCCAGCCTGTTTCTGTGTGGCTGCTCTAACAAGCTGGACTTTCAATGAACAGGGATGTGTGGGCTTACGGTTCAGAAGGTGGGGAGTTAAGAGCACTGCTGTGGGCTCCTGCTGCCCCATCGCAGCAGAAGGCCACAGAGCTAACCCTCCCTTTGGTACTCATTTCTTTTCTTTTGAGACAGGGTAGCCTTTATTTAACCCACTTTGTAGCCATGGGTGACCTTGAACTTCTGATTCTGTTGCCTCTGTTTCCCAAGAGATGGGATAACAGATACGTGCAATCAGACCCTGTTTATGGGGTACTGTAGATGGAACCCAAGGTAAACACCTAAACATGCTAGCCCTCCCCCTTATAATCAGTCCATTCCTGACTTTAGTGTAAGGCTTCACCGCCTTATAGATAAGGCTTCATCAGTTACTCTGTTACCATGGCTACTAAATGTTTACATAAATTTGAGAAAAATCATTTAAATCAGAGGAAAACCCTATCTCTCGACAGAAAGTGTAGTCCAGAGAGTCACTGAGATTTCCAGTATACCCTGGGCTCTGCCCACCCGGGCTGGATTTATACGCTCTCCTCCTCCAGACTGACTGGGCAGGGTCTGCTTTTGTACGGGAGTCAAGAGCAATTCCTGATCACAGCAAGGTGGCCCTCTCCTTACTGAGGTGTGGGGGGGGGGAGGGAGGGGAGGTAGCCTGTTGTATCCCTCAGCCTCATTTGCCGTTCCCTGAGCAGAAGTGCTGGTCGGTCACAGGAACGGCAATGAGAGTCCCAGCCTTTAGTATATACAAGCAGCGTTGTCCGGTGGAGCTTTCTGAACTTCAACACCCGACATCCCTGCTTGGTGGGATGTCTGTTGATGGGGGATACTGTGGTAGCTATCAGACATGTGGCTGTCAAGACCTGGAACTGTGAAGAGGTGGGACGGAAAATGTTATGTTTTATGGAGAGAGATAAGACAGAGAGAGAGAGAGAGAGAGAGAGAGAGAGAGAGAGAGAACATGCTCACATGCATATGTAGAGGCCAGAAGCCAACTTGGGGTAATAATTCCTCAGACACTCCCAGCTTGGTTTTTAAGACAGAGTATCTCACTGGCTGGGACTCGCCACACAGGCTAGCCTGACTGTCTGGTGAGCCCAGGCTCTGCTCTGGCTCATCTCTGAAACATTGGGATTATATGTGCAGGCCACCACACCCAGGTTTTCTTTCTTTCTTTCTTTCTTTCTTTCTTTCTTTCTTTCTTTCTTTCTTTCTTTCTTTCTTTCTTTCTTTCTTTCTTCCTCTGGTACACAGGTTTTGAAGTCTAACTTGGAGCCCCATTTTCCTCCCCTAAATGTACCAAAATAAACGCCATCTGTGCCTTTCGCCTCTTCTCTGGGGGCAAAGCTCAGCTCAGCGACTCCGCAGGGGGGAGGAGGGGCAGAGAAACCAGAGTCTAAGCACTTACTGTCATTGTCCTTCCTGCCATCAACCGGCTGCCATGGGTGCTGGGTACTCATGAGGCCATCTTACTGGGTCTCGCAGTACTGGCTTTAGGAGGTGCTAAATTCTGGGGGCTCCTAACTGTCTTTTGAGGAGAGTTAGGGATTAAGGCACATGGTGATCTCAGCTGGGGGCTGACCTAGTTTTCTTCTGGGTCACAGGTCAGTGCTCAGGGACATGCAGTCAGTGGCCTGTGGGGTGCTGGTATGGCCCAAGAAGACTAGGAGATACCACCTCAGATGCATGGCTTAAAGGCTTTGGGCTTCAGTCTTTAGGTCCGTGGAAGGATGATGGAGTTGGGCACCTGCTCTGGCCTTAGAATCCTCAAGGGCCTGGACATAGTAGTGAAACCTCTTCTTCTCCAAAGGAACTGGAACTCAGTCAACCCAAGAGTTGTGCCCAATTACACAGGGGTCCTCCGAGAGTCCTCGAGTGCTTGTTGTATGTCTTGTGGCTGCACCCTGCTACCGTCTGATCTTTTCTGTCAGTGGTAATACCCAGGGATTGTGTAGCTGTTGTTCACGGCTTTTCTTCTGCTCCTTCTCTGTTCGTGATGACATGCGGTCTGCCAGAGGATGGTTCTCCTTGGGCAGAGGATTGAGAGTCTCTATGTAGCCTTACCCTGTATCATGACTAGCCATTGACTGAGGGTCATCGAGGGCTGTCCGGAAGGCCCTCTCATCCAGGCCAGAGGGTTCAAGTCAAGCATCCTCTGAACCCTCCCCTAACAGCTATCTCTTAGCAGAACTGAGGCTGAGGATAAGGATAAGGTCAGGAGGGAACAGAGCCAACCCCTGAACTCAGCTCTTCCCCAGAGCTCCCCTGGTGGAACCCCCTACAGGGTAGTGAACACCGGCAGTGTGTAGAGCCTTGACCATGGAGGTGGGAAGGGGGGAAGAAGTCTGCTCTGCTACCCTTGGAGACTTTGTAATCTAAGGGGGAACACCCCAGAATTCTGAGGAGCACCCTGGACTCACCTCTGTAACACATACCCACCTGAGCACCACTGTCCACCACCATGACCTTCGGGCCCTGTTAAGCTATTGTGGAATCTTTACATGGGTAAGCTGTATCCCTTCCACACACAAAGGCTCTGTTTGGCCAGTGATCTAGGGTCCTCTAGAAAGTGCAGGACAGAGCTGAGACTGGTACCTGGGTCTGGTGGCTCCTGTCTCCTATGCGAACTCGATTCCTGCTTCTGAAATGAATGGTGGAAAGAGGGAGCACAGCCAGCTTGAGAGCGGGAATACAGCTACATGGCAGCCACGCCGTCTCGAAGGGCTGCAGGGAAGGGGCCCTTCTTGAAGTGCTGGCTACCTACCAGTGCAGTCCTTGCGTCGTGTGGGCTTTCCCTCCTGGCCTCTGGCCTGAGTTTCCTTGCAGGCCAAGAAGCTGTGAGTGCTGAGGCTCAACCAGGAGAGAGGCTCAGAGCGTACCTGCCACTCAGGTGCCCTCCTCCGTGGTCCGCAGGTCAACAGGAGCCCAAGGGGCCACATTCTGGAGGGCACCTGACCAGTTTCCAGCTGAAATCCTTGCACTTTCTCCAGTCACTGAAGGTATGTTCTGCCCCATGATGCTAGGCCAGTGACAGCTGTGTCCCCTTTAGGCATCTTCTGTTTGGAGATTAGCTGTGAGCAGCCTTTGCCTGAGGCTGAGTAGAAGGCTCCAAAACACAGAGCTGAGGGTTTAGAAGCAGCCCCCACCCTGGCACTCAACCCGGATAGGGAAGTCCCAGGTAGAAAGAGTAGTCATTCGCTAAGAGAGGCAGGCCCTGCCCAGGCGTGGAATCTACCAAAGCGATCCTCATAGTCTGTCGCCAGCAAGGCACAGGTGAACCGTGGGGTATGGGTTCTCATGACAGCTGGACCAGCAGAAGCAGAAGCAGACGCTGGTCCTTCTGAGACAGCGGGCAGAGCAGGAGGTATGGGAGACGCAGATGGCACTAGATGAACTTGTCTTCAAACACCAGCTAAAGGTCAGTGGGACGCCCCTTCTGGGGCTTTAACTGTGTGCTATGCCTCCCAATGTCCCTTCTACTCCACCCCACCCAGGCTGAGGTCCTTCTAAAGTGGGTACCATCGCATGGATACAGAGGAACCACTAGTCTAGGAGGGAGTACAAAGCCACATGAATTGGGGGCCGTGGACTTGTTTGAAGGGACTGGAAGCTTTGGCCACTAATGTCCTGGGAAACCCACACTGGAGTGCCCATGGCTGGTTCCACACCTGGGTCACAGATAGGGGTCTTTGCCTCCCACTCATCCCAGTCTGGGGTCTGTTAGGCCCCGAGCAGCGAGGTGTCTGTTGGAGCTCAGAGTTTATAATCTGTGGTGTGTGTGATATACAAAGCCCAGTATGCCTCTCTTGCCTGATTCTGGGATCCAGCCTGGCTTGCCTGGCTGTGAAGCCTCCTCTCTCACGCTCTGCAACATCAGACTCTTTCCTTGCAGCAACAGATGGAGAAACCCCTAGTCCAGCAAAAGCCAGAAAAGGCTTTGAAGCTGGAACAGCAGCAGACTTGTGGTGTCCTAGAGCCGAGCACACCGTCTCTCAACACGATGACGATCAGATCCAGGTGAGGCCAAGGCTGGGACCAGATGCCACCCCACAGGGTAGAGGAGGGCGAGGACAGGCTTAAATTCAGGTTTCAGGTGCTGGCAGTGACAGTGACCTTCGGTGGTTTCCTGGCCCTTTAGATCACCACCCTTCCCACAAAGAGACAACGCGGAGTCCTTGAAGCATCCTGAGGAGGCAAGGGCAGCTTCTGCAGGTGAGCGTCCTGTGTGATATGTGCTGGCAGGTAAGGGGTAGAGCAGGGCTAAGAACCTTGTAAAACCTCCCAGATGAGCTTTGAGCCTCATGGAGCTAGGTATGCCAGCCTACAGCTTCACCCCCAGCCTGACACAGCTACTTCCCTGGAAAGCTTGGCCCCTCTGCTCATTTCTGGTGGCCATAAAGTACATTTGTAGACTTTTTTTTAAAAGATTTATTTATTTATTATGTATACAACATTCCTTCCATGTATGTTCACATGCCAGAAGAGGGCACCAGACCTCATCATAGATGGTTGTGAGCCACCATGTGGTTGCTGTGAATTGAACTCAGGACCTCTGGAAGAGTAGTCAGTGCTCTTAACCCCTGAGCCATCTCTCCAGCCCCATTTGTAGACTTTTGATGATCTCCACACTCAGGCTTTTGCTGGGATATGCCATACTCTCTGTTGGGTGGAACAGTCTGTTACCAGTTGGTGACAGAATTGCTCTGACCTACCCCATGTTTGTGACTTTTCTTCTTTGTTTCTACTATTGTTGGCTGAAAGACACACTATGGAACCTTCAGATTGGAAGGTTGTCTAGACCCCTGGGCAGTATGATTAGTGCTATAGCACGTAAACGTTTAGGATTCTGACGAGCTCTTGATGAACTTACCCTTTTGATATGGAGACACTTCTGTAGTGTGCTTTGCCCTAGAGTCCACTTTGTATGTAAGTTTAGTTTGTATGTAAGTTTGTATGTAAGTGGGTTTTTGTTTTTGTTGTTGTTTTTGTTTGTTTGTTTGTTTTGCGGGCAAGGGGATGCTATGCTTGCATCTCGCCTTGGGTCTCCTAGTCTGGCCTGGAACTCACTGTTAGCCAAGATTACCTTAAATTTCCGACCCTCCTGCCTCTGCCTCCCAAGTGCTGGGATTATAAATGTGCATTGTTATGCCAGGCATGGTAGTGCATGTCTTTAATCCCAGCACTTACGAGGCAGAGGTAGGCGGATCTTTTTGAGTTTGAGTCTAGTCTGATCTACAAGAGCAGATGCCAGGACAGCCAGGGTTGTTACACAGAGAAACCCTGTCTCAGGGGGTGAAGGTGAGGGGCACGTACTCTATGAAACTCACCATAGCAGGGTGGTAGGCAGGGGTCAGCAGCAAGGGAGCTGGGTAAGCAGGGAGTCTGGTCTCTGTGTGTCCCTGTGCCAACTTAGTACTGGACTCAGGACATCCCCTCTTGCCTCAGTGTCTCCTTCTGTGTGTGAGAGCAAGGGCTGTTATTCTGAGAATTTTGTGTTTGGTCTGGTCCTGTGTACAATTGTGGGTTCCATTTCGGGGTTTCAGTTTAGGAAACAAGAGGCCACCAGTCCCTTCCAGCATTGCCTTGAGATCTGGTGGGAAGCTGTGTGTCAGAGGTTGTGTGTAGATGCATGAAGTATGTTCTTGCCTCGGACATGCTTCATTTGGGAGGCCCTCCTTAGGAAAGGCCCTAAGCACATGTTAATGGTTCCCTCAGGACCCCACCAAGGCCTGCTTTCTGTCTCGGAGCCGGTGCAGCAGGACCCAGCTCCCTCCCAGCTGGCTCTAACCAAGTTCTTCCCTTCAGACAGAACCACCTACAAGGTACAAAGAATGGGGCATGATTTTAAGGCTATATGATACTGGTGGTGGGTAGTGGGTCCCTACTGGGCCTGATCTGGGGAGGATTAGCCCGTCATCCCAGTGTCCATCCTTGCAGCTGTAGCTACCCCAACTCTTCTTCTCACCCTGGGTGATAGCGGAGGGACCTGCATGACAACAGGGTGCTTTGGACAGGACAGTGCACAGCCCAGCCTGCCTTGCTAAAACCCTGCAGAGCATCAACAAGTGTCCTGCCTAGCTTGGGATGGGCTTGAGTCCAGGATGATGAGGACCCTGCCTGCCCTCTGGGAGCTTACAGTCAGGAAGGGGTGCCTTGCCAGGAAGGGAGCATTGTGAGGGGGATAAGCTGGTGGGTGTTTAGGGAGGACTTCTTGGAGTCTGTGGCATCTTCCTGAGAGTTGGGACCGCTCCCAGCCCTTGAGAGGAATTAGTAGTAACAAGACTGGGTTGGTCTGTGTCTCTGCAGTGGGACATAGAGAGACCAGAGCCAGGAACAGAAAGGTCCAGAACCTTCCACCGCTTCACTATTGCGATGCTGGAGCAGAGTCTGAGAGACGAAGAGCTGCGTGCCCAGCACCAGGCTGCAGTTCTCCGACTGCGTGAGATGGCGCTGGAGGAAAAAGCCCGTGCGGAGCTGGCCTGCCTGGAGCATCAGATAGGGTGAGTTCAACGTGTGGTTGGTTCTGCCCACCCCGTCCATGTGCCCACCCCCGTCCACGTGCCCACCCCCGTCCACGTGCCCACCCCCGTCCACATGCCCACCCCTCCATGTGCCCACCCAGTCCATGTGCCCACCCCCTCCACGTGCCCACCCTCCCACCCACACACAGACACAGACACAGAAAGATGACTGTAGTGATCCAGGCTGTGATAGGCATTTGGAGAAATTTAGGGAAGATAGTAAGTGTCCCCAAAAGACTAAACAAGCAGCCACAGTCCCTGTCTCTATAGTGTCTGCAGTATTTCCAGAGTGTTCCAGAGTGTTGCTGGGGGCTTAGGCTTCACATGCTGCTGCATGCCAGGAAGCCTCACGTCACCACATACGTGCCAGCACATGGGCATTGCAGGCCATCAACATTCCCTTGGCCTGTCTCTAATTACAGACCTTTGTTTTGCTATTATGACTACCGAGAAACTTCTTCCTTAGAGTGATTTCTTAGACATAGGAGTTTTCATATATAAATGAAACTAATCCAGAATCCTCTGGCCTTGCTGAGGCTGGCCTCTGGGGGTTCCTCTATTCACAGCCCACCACCACCCTGGGCATGACATGTCCTTAGTGTTTGTCAGTGGGGAACCCCTTGTCTGGATGTAGTCTGCTGGTGGGAGACTCGGTCACCTCAGGCCTTCACACCCTTGACTATGTGACAGTCATCAGCATGGTGGGAGGGAAGATTGACAGCCCAGGCTGAGGCCCCTGAGGCTCCCAGACTCTGCTCTGTTGGGGGACATCTAGGTGTACCTGGCTGCTGGAGCTGTCTGGTCCTGCTTTGTGGATCTCCCAATCTGGAGAGACTCTCAAGACTGCCTGTGGCTTTTTCCCTTCCCTAGGTGTCTGGGGCTCAAGGGGCGCGAAGCGGCATGGGCCACTTTGTGGGAGAAGCAACAACAAGCTCTCAGCAGGCTTGAGAAGGAACGGGTAGGCACGGGCAAGGAATGGTCACACAGAAGCAGGCCTGCAGCCCTCCCAGTGGGGGCACCAGAATGCCCCTGTGTCACAGAACGTCCTTGAGCACTTGCCACCCTCCAGTAATGCTTACAACTGTATGGGGCCTGGAAGAGCCCACGGTCAGGGGACTGCAAATCTAGGTGGCACATGGCCCTACGTCCCTGAGTCTAAACCACTCTTAACCTCCTGCTAACTGTGGCCTGCGACAAGTTGCTTAGCCTCTGGGAGCTTCAAGTTCCCACTGTAGAGCAGTGTCTGTTTTCCGAAGTCTTGGCGAGGCTTTTATAATAAAGGCAAGGCAGTAGCCAACACCTGGGGAAGGGGAGGGGGGGAGGAAGGAGAGAGAACTCCTTATGGAAGTCATTGGTGCATGATTACCCCAGCTTCATGAGTTCCCTCCTGCCCAGACCAAACCCAGAGGAGAGCAAAAGCTGAGAGGCTGAACAGGGAGGGCCAGGCAAAAGGCCTGGGAGAGGAGAGGTGGGTCGTCAGGCAGCATGAGAGGCAGAGGCCCCTGGATGTCCCCTCCCTGCCCCGGTGTCCTAACTGGAATTTTCTCCTCCGGAACTTGAGAGGGAAATCCAGTACCTGAAGAAGGTGTACGCGTCCCTGCACCGCGACAGAAAGCAGCTCCTGCAGCACCAGCAGTCTATCCTCAATGTGCAGAGGTCCGTGGCTCACTTGCGGCAGGAGCTCCAGGCCCGGACCCAGCTGCTGCAGGTGGGCGCTCCCAGCATCTTCGCTTGGTCCCTTTGTGTCCCACCTGCCACTCTAGGTGGAAAGGGTCTGGAACGGGATGATGGTGTTGAGGGAGAAGATGACCTGCCGAGGGCCCTGGGGGAGGAGCCAGGCTTCCAAGCTATGGCAGTTATTACAGACCAGGGGGAGAAGAAAGGCCCTGTGGGAGGAGGAGAGCCTGGTGGGGGTGGAGGGGTAATGATCTAGCTCAAGGAGGCCCAGGTACCACTCAGATGAGCCAGCGGTAGCAATGGGGACCTCTGTGTCCCTAGCAGGCCTGGGGTGTGCTGGAGAGGCCACACACCCAGACAAAGCACCCACTGTGTCTGTGGAGCTGAGTCCCTGCTCCTCTCACCCGGTTAAGAGCATGAGAGGGAATACGGATGAGGGCAAGGGACCCTTGGGCACTCTGTGTTCCCCTAACTCTGTAAACAGGACGGTAACCTCACTTCTCTCTGAAGCACCTGCCACAGGCCAACCTTCAGGAGAGGGGGCTCTGGACTACCTGACTCTAGAGTTCTCTGTGCCTCTGGGCAACTTTGGGCAGAAAAACAATCTCTGTCTTCTGTCTGTACCTATCAGCAGGTGTCTAGGCCTGGTAAGGGGCGGGGCAGCTTGTCCCAGCTTGTGCCCACTCTATCTACAGTGCTAAGGGTGTCCTGCGGTGGCCGCTGCCATGGGCTCTTGCCCCCCTGCTTTTCTGCAGAGGGCACCAGCTGAAGGTGGCCATCCCAGGCTTGCCCTGTGCTATTTTTCCTAGAGTTCCAGCTCCAGTGTCAAGGTCGCCTGGGAAGGGGTCTCTGACACACATCAGAAAACAGAGGAACACAGACCCTGGAGCCCCCAAAGCCACAACCCCCAGGAACTCTCAGACAGCTTGAAAGTTTCAGAGTGAGTGGGGGAGGGTGGGAGTGAGGGAAGATGGCCCTGGCACAGGCCATGACAAGCCTTTCGTGTATTTGTTTTCTGCTGCATGGTTCCATTTCACTCCGCTGCTCCCAGGAAGATGGGGGGGGGGGGATAAAAGGGCATGGGAGGACCAGACCTGCCCTGAGCTCCCCCCGGAGGAGGGGG